TATTAATACATTTTTTTTTAATGTATATTAGGATGATTATCAAATGCTTGACTCTGAGATGCTGTCAACAGATTTTGTCCAAAATACCATTACACCAAAAGAAAATGTAAGAATAATAATATTAACTATAATGTAAAAATCATATCTATAATTTATTTTATATAAATTGTTTAAATTTAAATGTTTTGTTTGGTAAAGATTTTGGTATAATTTATTTTATTTACTTTAGGTAATTTAAATAAATAAATAATAATTAACATTTAAAAAAATATATTTTTGTTAGGATTATAACAATCTTGACTCTGAATTATTAAGATTAAGAGGTTCTGCCAAAGAAACCATAATACCTAGGCAAAATGTAAGAATAGTAGTTTTATTAAATTATATTGACACAAAAATGTATACATTTTAATTTTATGAATACATGTATGGCTCCATAGGATATGAATGTACTGAATTTTGAAAATATGGATGTGGAACTTTGTTTTGATGACCCTAATAAAGATGTGACCAATAATAAATTTCTTGTTATCGAAATACCTTCAGCTTTCAATAATAGTCCTACACATTCTGTCAGTAATATTTTAGATACTGTAAATCCAACTCCAAATCTTCTTATGAACACAAGTATATCAAATTTGCATTCATCAACATCCAAGTCATCTTTGATAAGTTCTGATCCAGAGTTTCCTGAGCCTGTCAAAGTAGTAGAAAACGGTAGAAAACGAAACTCAATAAATCAGAAAAAACAAAAACAATTAGTTAAAAATCATATAAACTCAGATTGGTCTTTTGAAAACAACTGTGGTCATAAAGAACCTAATACTCAATGTCAAATTTTTAAACTGTCAATTGAAAATTTGAATTTGTTTCGTTATAACTTATCAAAATTGTCTAGCAAGATTCAGCAAGATAAATTTATTTTAACTTTCCTAGCAGTTACAAGACCAAAAAGAATGAATCGCCGTAAACCTAATACAACTGTGAGGAATGTCATTAAATATTACATACCTAATAATAAGGGAGATAGAATACCAGTATGCATTACAAGCTTCACTCAAATAACAACTTTTACACGCAGGCGATTAAATTTGTTGGCATCTACTTATATGTTAGGAACTAGTCCCCAAGAAAAAAGAGGTGGTGCAAGATCCACAATTCAATCAAAAGAAATCAGTGAAAGTATTATTGCTTTTATTTGTAAATTAAAATGTAAAAAGAGCCATTATGCAAGGTGTGATACAGGTAGAAGTTACTTGCCACCACAGTGGTCTGTAAGTTACTTATGGAAACAGTGGAAATTTCAAAGAACCACAGAAGAAAAACCAGTTTCATCATTAAATAAATTTCATAAAATATTTACTACCAATTTTAATTTGAACTTTGGCCATCCACGTCAGGATGTATGCAGTTTTTGTACAGAACTAGGAGTAAAAATAAAAATCGAAGATAATAAAGATATGAAGATACAATTAAAAACTGAACTTAATACCCATAAAATTCGTTCTAAAATATTTTCGAAAATGATGTTAAATGTTAAACCTGGTGAGATCAATGTCTCTTTTGACATGATGCAAAATCAAGCCATTCCTAAACTATCCGTCACTGACACATTTTATAGCAGACAAATATGGGTATATAATCTTACATTTGTGATTAATTTTGGTAACTCTGATCAAAGTTCCAAAAATTGTTATTTATATACATGGGTAGAGTCAGAAAGTGGTCGAGGACCAAACGAAATATGTTCAGCCTTACTTAACTTTTTGGATCAATTAGAAGAACGCGTTAAAAATGAAGATAACCCCCCTAAAATTCTGAATCTGTTTTCAGATTCGTGCTCTGC